GTCCCACGCGGCGTCGCCGGCGTCCTCGAGGGCCGCCGCGGCCGCGGCCGCGGCCTCGCCCTCCGCGACGACGCCGGCGGCGTAGGCCTCGCCGCCGCGCGCGGTCCGCGCCGCCGCGGCCGCGCGGTCCGCGGCCGCCGCCGCGTCGCCGCGCGCGTCCGTCTCCAGCGCCCAGGCCGCCGCGCGCGCGCGGTCCGCGGCCAGGGCGTCGGCGACGGCCGCCGCGGCCTCGGCGTCCGCCTTCTTGACGGCGGCCCGGGCCGCCGCCGCGGCCCGCGCCTCGGCCTCGGCGGCGGCGACCGCGGCCTCCGCGGCGGCCCGCTTCGCGGCGGCGACCACCGCCTCCGCGGCGGCCCGCTCCTTGAGGTCCGCGTGCGCCTTGGCCGTGGCGCGCGCCGCCTCATCCGCGCGCGCCTCTGCCGCAGCGGCGGCGGCGGCGGCGGCGACGCCCGCCGCGGCCTCGGCGGTCTTGGCGGCCTTGGCGGCCGCGGCCTCGGCGTCGGCCGCGGCCGCGCGCGCGGCCGCGTCGGCCTTGGTCGCCGCGGCGGCCGCCGCGGCCTTGGTCGCCGCGGCCTGCTGCTTCGCCGCGATGGCCGCGCGCTTCTTCTCCGCGGCAGCGGCCTTCTTCGAGTTCCAGAAACTCGAGAAGACGGGCGAGTCGGTCGCGGCGTCGTCGGCCTTGGCCTGGGCGACGGCGTCCCGCGCCGCGGCCGCCGCCGGAGCCGCCGGTTCCGCGCCGGCCTCGGCGCCCGGGAGCCGTCGCCGAGCCATGCGCTTGCGGGCCGTCTGCGCCGTCGCGGGGCTCGGGTCCTCGGCCGCGCCGCCCGGCGCGAGGCCGCCCGTCTTCTCGGCCTCGATGCGCTTTTCGAGCGCGAGGCGGCGCGCCTTGACCGTGGACGGCGCGGGCTTGGGCGGCGTGTTCGTCGCGTCGCCGAGCGGCGCCTTCGCGGGCGTCTTCGCGGGCGCCCGGCCCGCGGGGACGATCGCGTCGACGCCCCCGTAGTCCTGCGCCGTCATGATCGCGTCGCCGACGAAGCCGGGGGGGATGTCCCCCTCGAAGGAGCGCAGGCGGCAGGCGACGAGGCCCCGGGTCGGCGGCGACGGCGTCGGCGTCGGCGTCTCCGTCTCGTCCTTGACGTTGTAGAGCACGCTGTTCACCCGACGGATCTTCTCCATGAGCCCGGTGCTGATGCGGCTTCGGTTCTTGACGGTGTCCATGGTGCGAGACGAGGGCGAGAGCGCCGAGGAGCTCCGCGCGCCCACCGACGTCGTCGACCCGTCGCGTCGCGCGACGGTTTTTGCTCGAAGTAATTCGCTCGAGGCGAGGAGTGCAACTGTCGTGATTTGGTAAATAAAAAAAAAAAAAAAAGGCTAATTGAAGGCAGTAGACTCGATGGCGGCCTCCAGGGAATTACATCGGGCTGATCGCCCCCCCGACGGCCTCCTCGAACTCGGCCTTGCGGACCTCGTCCATGGCCGCGACGATGGCGTCGGCGATGGACTGGGCGGGCGTCCAGGTCGCGTGGAGGACGTAGGGCTCGTAGTTGCCGTCGACCTCGCCCTGGCCCATGACGAAGCGGACCTCGCGGTCGCGGAAGTAGGCCGTGGGCCCCTTGAAGGGGTAGCCCCCCGGGACGAGGAGCCGCATGGGCGTCTCCCGGGGCTCGGCGTCGAAGCGGACGTGCGCGGTCCAACGACGGGCGTCGCCGTCGTCGCCGCCCGCGAGCGCGGCCGGCGGCGCGTCGTCGGGCCTCACGGAGACGACGTTCTTCGGCAGCGCGCGCGGGTCGCCGTAGCGCCGGAGCTCGCCCTCGAGCCGCGCGGCGCGCTTCGCGGAGCCCGGGCGCGACCCGGGCCGGTCGTCCCGCGAGCCCCCGAGCACGCTCCCGAGCCACTGGCCGAACTCCTTGGACTTGCGCCGCAGGGCGTTCGTCGCCTGGCGCGGGCTCTCGAAGGAGAGGCGCCGCCGCGCGTCCTTGGCCTCCTCGGCGCCCGTCGGGGCGCTACGGGACGCCGCGAGGCGGCGGTCCGACGACGCGCCGGACGCGCGGAGCAAGCCGGGCCGCGCCGCGCCGTCGGGCAGCGCCTTGCCCGAGGGCACGGTCTGCAGCGCCGGCAGGTTTTCGGTCTGGAGCGGCGCGGGCCGCGCCGCCGCCGGCGCCGGCGCGGCCGCGGACGCGAGCACGGGCAGGTGCGCCGTCGGCGTCGCGGCGCCGCTCGGCGGCGGCGACGGGTCCGCGGGCCGCGGGAAAGGGCTGCAGGCCGCGTCGTGCGTCGGCGCCTTGGGCGGCGGCGACGCGCCGGCCCGGTTGAAGACGGACGCGCCGACGAGGTCGAGCGGCACGCCCCTCGCCGAGAAGCTCCGGAGGTCCTCGGCGATGCGCCGCGCGAGGGGCCGGCTCGAGATGCCGGCCTGGGCGAGGTCCGCCTCCTCGTAGAAGCTCAGCGTGCCGCCGTCGACGTTGCGGAAGCCGGCCTCGACGACGGCGGCCTCGACGCGGAAGTGGCGCTCGAGGAGGTGCGCCGTCTCGCCCACGCTGAGCTCCCGGAGCGCCTTCACCTGCGGCGCCGGCCCCGGCAGCACCTTGCCGGGGCTCGTCTTCACGCGCAGGCCATCGACCATGGCGGCAGCGCGGTGTGCGCCTCTCGCCGGCGGCCGCCGCCGCCGTTCTCGGCGGGGCAGCGCGCAGGGCCGGTGGGGCTGCACTCAAACTAGCTGCGGCACCGTCGCGGCATCGTCATCGGCCACGACCGCGGCAAAGCGAGGTGGAGCCGAGCTCCACGCGCGCTCGACGAGTGCAGCGCCGACGAGATGAGCAAGTCCATGGACGGCCGCGAGGCGAAGAATGCGACGGCGATCGCCGTCACGGAGGGTCTGAGCTCCGCGTTCCCCGTGGCGCTCGCCTCGGGCGCCGCCATCGGCCTGGGCCACAAGTTCCACGCGGGCTTCGCGAAGAACGTCGGCGCCTCGGGCAAGGTCGCCATGGCCATCATGCCGCCCTTCTTCGCCTTCGTCCTCGCCGGCGAGCACGCGATCAACCGCACGGTGCGCGAGGGCGGCGCCGCGGCCGCGGCCGGCGGCGCCGCGGCGCGGACGGGCTCGACGTGGCACCTGCGCGCGGCCAACTACTTCCACCACCACACGCTCATCTGCTTCGGGGCCATCATCACGCCCATGTACGGCGCGATCCTCAGCAACGAGCTCGCGAAGCCGCGGCCGCCGACGTGGCGATTCTCGCACGCGATCATCCACACCCGCGTCTTCGGCCAGGCCGCGGCCGTCGTCTCCCTCGTCCTCTGCTTCGGCTTCAAGGACATCATGACCAAGGCCGGCGCGCCCTTCGACGTCGGCGACGACTAGGGGGGGGGTGGGCGCGTCGTTTTTAGAATCCCCTCGAGATCGACGAGTCGGCCCGCCGCACGTTACTCGTCGTCGCCTCGGCGCCGCCGTCGGCGCCATCGCAGGAGCCCGAGGGCGCCGAGGACGGACAGCAGGGGCGCGACGGCGACGGCCGCCGGCGCGCGGTACGCCGGCGGCGGCGCCGCGCCTCGCGCGCGCCGCGCCTGCGCCGCCTTGATTCGCTCGACCATGGCGCGGTTCGACGGCGCCGGCGGCGCGCGGCGCGCGGCGGCGACGGCGATGCGCTCGGCGCCGGCCGCCTCGTCGGCCCAGCGGAGCACGTCGCCCACGCCGCCGCCCTCGTAGAGCCGACGGACGATCGTCAGCTTGAGATCCGTGGCGAGGCCCGTGACGTGGAAGCACGCGACCCGCGGGTCCTCCCGCACGGCGCGCGGCCGGTCGCCGCGCTTCGTCAGCTTCGCAAAGACTCGTTTGTCCAACCGCGCGAAGTCCGGCCCGCCGTCGCGGAGCGTCGCCCAGAAAAAAGCCTGGTCGCGAGCGAAAGGAACGCGCCCGCCGGCCGCGGCGAGGGCCTCGCGCCAGCCCGCGACGAGCCTCGAGTAGCATCCCGGGTCCTCGGCCCCGGCGTCGCGAGCACGAAGCCGACGTTGAGTTCGTCGTCGCGTTCGTTGTCCATGGCCGCCACCGCGTCCGCCGCGTCGAAGCTGCCCCCAGAGCGTCCGGCGAGCGCGGCGGCGGCGGCCGCGTACGCGTCCGCGAGCCAGACGACGTCGAGCTCGCTGTAGAGCACGCGGTGCCCCCGCTCGAGGAGCGCGCGCGAGACCTCGAACTTCGACAAACCGACGATGCCCGCGAGCAGGTCCGGCGACGCGACGTCGTAGCGGACCCGGCACGCCGCGTCGACGCCGAGGCCCAGGGCGATCACGACGCGCTGCGCGATGCCATAGGCGTCGAGGCGCGTCGACCAGGCCTCGAGGACGCGCGCGTAGGTCGCCGACGCCGTCGTGACGACGACGGGCAGCGTTCGCTGGAAGCGCTCGGCGCAGGCGAAGTCCCGCCGGGCGAGCGCGGAGCTCAGGTGCTCCGACATCGACGCTGCCCAGATTTACATGATCTCATCGTCGGGCGCAAGGGAAGCATGGCAGCATGTTGACGTTGAAGTTCATATTGAGGCCCTCGGAGAGCATGGGAAAGCCCGACCAGCGCAGACTCGATTCTGACCGCCGACGCGCTTAAACGCGTCGCAGCCGCCTTTACCCATCGATGCGTTCGTCCGCGTCGGCGACGCACTGCTTGACCATTACACGCGACGGCGGCGTCGAAGCAAAACCGCTCACACCGTCCGGCAATCGCTTCGGCCAGTGCGGCGACGGACGCTCTGAAAAGAAGGCGTCGCTCGACGCGCGGCGCGTCGCAAACATCGCCGACTGCGTCGCCGTGGCGGCTGGCGGCGGCAAGGACGCGGGCCACTCCGTCGCGGCGACGGCGGACGGCGCCGTCTACGCCTGGGGCTGCGACCGCTGGCAGCAACTGGGCCTCGGCAGCGCCGAGGCCGGCGCCGTCGGCTACACCTGGGAGGGCGGCCGGCTCTGGCGGACGTCGCCGCAGCGCGTCGGCGCGCTCGGCGACGTCGTCGACGTCGCGGCCGGCGCGGACCACAGCGTGGCGCTCTCGAGAGACGGCCGCGTCTTCGCCTGGGGCCGCGGCAACGACGGCCAGCTCGGGAACAAGGCCTTCGTCGGGCCGCCCCGAAAGGTCGCGGCGCTCTCCAAAGACGCGACGCGGCGCCCCGTCGCCGTCGCCGCCGCCGCGGCCTGCTCCTGCGCGTGGCTCGAGGACGCGCTCGGCTCCGGCACGGCGGCCTGCGTCGGGTCGTGCTCCAAGGTCGCGGCGTCCCTGCGAGAGGCGCTCGCGACGAAGGTCGACGCCAGGAAAACATGTCGCTTCGGCGAGTTCGCGGAGACGCTGACGTAGCCTTAATCTCGCGTCGCGTTAACGAGCCGCGGCGAGGAAGTCGGCGAAGGCCTCCGCTAACGTAGCCTTAATCTCGCGTCGCGTTGACGAGCCGCGGCGAGGAAGTCGGCGAAGGCCTCGGCGAGGAGCCTCCCCTTCAATGACCTCGTCAACGCAATCCTCATCGAGGCTGCTGCCCCTCGAGGATGATGGGCCTCATCGCGGCCGCAACAGCAGCTCTCGCCGCGCTGGCGGCTCCGACGCAGCCGGAGCCCGTGGCTCGGCTCGTGGGCCCGAAGATGCACAAGACGGGGTCGACGACGCTCGGCGGCATCCTCGCGCGGGCGTCGAACCGCTACGGCTGGACGGCGCGCCTCTACGGGACCATGCAGCCCATCGAGGAGTTCCCGCGCTTCGGCCCGCGGAGCCTGCCGCCGGAGAAGCCCGACATCCTCTACTGCCACGTCCTCGGCAGCGCGAACCACGGCAACCCGGCCGACTTCCACGTCGTCGGCAAGGGCGAGAAGTTCACGCTCCGGCGCGTCGCGAACTACACGGCGCCGCGGCTGCTCGCCTACCTGGACTTCGTCGTGCCCGGCGCGCGCCTCGTCCTGGCGCTGCGGGAGCCGCTGGGCCGCTACGTGTCCATGATGAACTACTTCACGTACGCGGAGCGCCAGTTCTCCAAGGACGCGCCGCTCTTCACGCGGCGGACGGTCGACGGGAAGCTCGAGATCGAGCCCGTGCCGGAGGTGGACCGGCTCTTCGAGATCATCCGGCCCCTCGTGGCGCGGGGCCTCGGCGCGGAGTACATGACGACGGTGCTGGGGCTGCGGACGCGGGACCAGACGGGCGCGTTCGTGAACTCGAACGCGTTCGCGGACGCGGCGATCCTCGTGACGTCGCACATGGACGAGTCGCTCGTCGTGCTGCGCCGCCTCCTCGACTGGGCGCCCGACGACGTGCTCCACCTCGACGTCCACGTCTCCTGCGAGGACAAGGTGCGCTGGGACGGGCGCCACGTCGCGTGCGTCGACGCGAACCTGAGCGGCGCGCCCGAGGCGCTCCGCGAGCGCATGCTCGCGCTCCACGCCAACGACCGCGCGCTCTACGCCGCGGCGCGCGTCGCCGTGGCCGCGCGCTTCGACGCCCTGGGGCCCGGCGGCGCCGCGGAGCTGTCGCGGCTCCGCGCGCGGAACGGCGCGCTCCCGTGTGGAAATCAACCACTGGTTTGGGACGTCCCGACCACACTTTGAAATTCTCTAGCTCGGTCAAATCGAAGTCGATTCGGCTGATTTTTGGACGAATCGATGGCTCATCGAGTTCTCGAAGCACGGCAGAAGAGCTCGCGTCAAAACCGTCGCATACGCTCACATCGAAGTCGGGTTGAAGATTTGATTTCCACACAGGCGCGCTCCGCGCGTACTGCGACCGCGGCGGGCCTTCGTCGACGTACCGGCCCGACGCGGCCATCTTCGAGAGCCGCGACCCCTGCGTGCCCTTCCTCATGAACGACGCGAGCTTCCCCGTCTACCTCAAGGCGCGGCGGCCTTTTTACGTTTTCGACGGCGCGGGCTTCACGGACGCGACTGGCGCGCGCGTGCCGCGGTTGAACCAGTCCGCGTGGCGGAGCATCGAGGACGTCGAGGCGGCCAAGGGCGACGCGCCCGGGGGCCGGCGGCGCCGGCGGCCGTCGCTCTCCCACGACGAGCGCGTCGCCCGCGCGCGCGCGCGCCGGGAGCAGGCGGGCGCGCGCGCGGCCGCGCCGGGCGACGACGACAAGGTGCCCCTCTGGGAGCGGCGCCGCAAGGCGCGCTACGGCGCCGACGTGGTCCGCGTGATGCGGGGCTAGCGATGGTTAGACCAGGTCCTTGGGCGCCGTCTCGGCGAGCTCGAGGCCCTCGTCGTCGTCGTCGTCCGCGGCGGACGCGGGCCCCGCGGCGTCGTCCGTGGACAGCTGCTGCATGGTCACGAGGAGCTGGGCGTGCTCCGTGGGCTTCCAGATGACGGTGACCGCGGCGATGACGGCGAAGTTGAGGATCTCGAGGGACACGGTCTGGAGCCAGTAGAGCTGCCAGGGCCAGTCGAAGAGCTCGAGGCGGCTCGCGAAGATGACGGCCGTCAGCACGGAGACGAGGCCGACGAAGGCGCCGATAGTGTAGGCGAGCTTCGTGTACATGGCGAGCTTGTAGGTCTGCTTGTCGTCCTTGAGCGCGTCCATCGTGCCCACCAAGGCCATGTAGATCCACACGAGGAAGCACAGGTCGAAGAAGAGCACGGGCAGGTCCGACGTCGTCGACGCCTTGCTCCCCGAGTGGAGGTCCGACGACTCCTCGACCTTGGTCACCGTGGCGACGATGGACGACACGAGGTAGCCCAGGAGCAGGAGCGCGACGCCGAGCGCCTCGCGCGTCGTCAGCGACGCGCGGACGACGCCGTGGCCCAGCGACACGACGAGGAGCAGGGCGCGCGTGAGCGTGCGCCGGAGGAACTCGAGCGTCATGGCGGCGATGACGTGGGACGGGAAGGGGCAGCAGAGCGGCGCGCCCGACGCGTTCATCGACAGGTAGGAGAAGAACCACGCGCCCGCCTCGGCCGCCGCGAGGAGCGCCGCCGCGAAGATGGCGTAGTGCAGCGGCAGCAGCTTGTCCCGGTGGATGACCAGCAGCGCGAAGAAGTAGGCGAGGAAGCACGCGAAGCTCGCGACGCGCACGAGCTCGAAGGGCAGGAACCCGAAATACATCGCCGGCAGGAACCCGTAGGGGTTCTTGAAGGTGATCGTCCCCTCGAGCCGCAGGAGCACGGGCGCCCAGGAGTCGCAGACCTGGAGCGCGACGTACTGGAGCCCGGACGTCGGGACCTCGTAGTAGAGCCGGATCTTTCGGCTCGAGACGGCGTCGACGGCGAACGACCGGCGCGCGCTCGTCTCGACGCCCGCGGGCAGCTCGCGCGCGCACAAGTTCACGCCGCCGAGCTCGAGCTCGCCGGGCGACGTGAACGCGAGGACCGTGACGTTCGCGCTGCTGTAGGGATTCGACAGCTGGCCCTCGAGGTCGACGAGGACGTACGACGCGCCGCGCGTCACCGGGAACGGGCCGTCGTCCGTGCCGTACTGGTAGAGCTCGCTGAAGCTGAGCTTCTCCTGGCCGTAGGTGTCCGAGATGTCCCACTTGTACGACGCGACGGCGCCCAGCCACGCGACGGCGACGAGCCGGCGCAGCATGGCGGATCTCGGGCGCGCAAGCGGTTTGCGCGGCGGTGAACGTCGAGCGCGACGACGCGGGCCTTCGCGAGCGCCGTGCGGCGTGAGAACGTCGCTCGAGGCGCGGCACGACGCAGCGACGAACGACGCGCGCAAGCAAAGGCGGCTGTGGCGAATCGAGTTTTGCGAGCGAAGCGCAAACGCCGAGGCAACCAAGCATCCGCGTCGGCGGCCCACGGCCACGGCGCTCTCGTCGGCGGCTAGCGGCGCCAGCGCTGCATGCCAACCATGATGGGCGGCTTCTTGAACCGCGTGTCGGGCTGGTTCTACGGCTCGAGCGGCGCCGACGACGAGACGCGCCCCGCGACGGACACGTCCCTGTGCTACTGGAGCGGCCGCGAGGACGACTTCGTCGCGCGCGACGTCTACGAGGACTTCGCCGGCCCGAAGCTGCTCGGCCCGCCCGGCCGGCCGCTGCGGCTGCTGGCGCTGCACGGCACGGGGTCGAACAACGACATCACGTCGATCCAGCTCGTGAGCCTCGAGTGGCACGAGAAGGCCGTCGTCGACTGCCTCGCGGGCCCGCTCGGCGCGAGCCCCTACAACTCGTCGTTCCCGCTCATGTCCGAGCTGCCCTTCAAGACCTGGTGGCGCGGCGGCGCGACGGCCCAGACTTTGCGGCCCGCGCTCGTCGGCGTTCTAGGGTTCATCGACGCGCACGGCCCCTACGACGGGCTCTACGGCTTCTCGGCGGGCGCGCAGCTCGTCGCGGCGCTGTCGGCGCCGGGCATGGCCGCGGCCCTCGGGTCGCGGCGGTCCTGGCGTTTCGTGGTGTGCGCGTGCGGCGTGTCCGTGGCCAACGGCGCGGCGGACGAGCTCCTCCGGAGCGCGCGGCCCGACGAGGAGGACCTGCCGGAGAAGGCCATGGACGACATCGACCTGCCGTCGCTCCACATTATTGGCCGCAAGGACGTCTGCCGGCCCATGAGCGTCGAGCTCGCCAAGACGTTCCGCGAGCCGACGGTCGTCTACCACGACGGCGGCCACGAGCTCCCGCTGACGCTGCGCAAGAACGCGGCCTTCAAGGCGGAGGTCCACGGGTTCCTCGAGCGGCGGTAATTGCGATTCTATGTGTGTCTCTGATATGAGAGTAGAGTGTCGGTTGACCGTGGCAGCTCATACTAACCCTCCTCGCCTCAATCGCCGCGCGCTCGGACACATCCGGATATCCGCACACCGTCGCGCGCGCCGGCGCGGGCTTCGCGCGCGCTCTCGCGCCGTTTTAGGGGGTGGATCGCGTCGCCCGCCTGGGCACCTCGGAGTGCATCGCCCGACGCGCGCCTCAGGGGGCGGCGCCGAAGGTTTTGAGCGAATCGAGGTTCGCGCGTCGCTGTCCGGCCTCACCGACCCCAGGCTGGACTCAATTTGAGCACCTCCGACGCATCACCGTCTCGCGCGCGCCGGCGCCGGCTCTGCGCGCGCTCTCGCGCCGTTTTAGGGGTTGGATCGCGTCGCCCATCCCCCTCAGAGTGCATCGCCCGACGCGCGCCTCGGGGGACCCCGCGCTGCTCCGCGACGGCGCGGCGCTGCTCCGCGCCGTCTTCAAGTTAAGAAGGGCTATAGTGTGCAGAAAAAACGTCGAAGCGACGGTCGGCGCGGGCGGGGGACTCTACTCGTCGTCGTCCGTGGACAGGTAGGCGACGACGGTGGCCTGCGTGTGGACGACGGTGCCGCCGGCGGCGGGGTCCGGCGCGATGGCGGCGTGGAACGTCGCGCCGAGGGAGTGGGAGCCCAGCGCCGCGGCGACCTCGGACGGCACGGGCGTGCCCGCGAACTCGAGCGTCGTCGCGCCCTTCTCGGCGAACGCGCGGCGCCGCGGCGCGAAGGCCGCGAGCAGCGCGCGCTCGCGGCGGTCGCGGTCGCCGACGCGGTAGAGCGCGACCTTGGTGCAGCCGGGCTTGACCTACGAACGCCGCCGTTTTTTTTCGGTTTCGGCGCGCGACGCGGGGACCCGGGCGTCCTCGCGAGCTGCGGGTCGCAGGCGACCTTGAGGGCGCCGTCCTCGACGCCGAGGGGCCTCCGGAGGGACACGGACTCGACGCCGAGCGGCCTGCGCGTGTCCGCGACGACGCCGACCAAGAGCCCCTCGAGGTCGCCCGCGGAGTCGCCCGCGCCGAGCGACCGCGCGCAGCACGTCTCCTCGTCGCCGTCGAGCCCCGTGATGGCGACGCCGCCGTCGACGGGCCGCGCGGAGGTGACGGTGCGCGGGCCCCGGAGCGTCGCGAGCGTCGGCCCCGCGGCGACGGCCGCGTCCAGGCGCACGCCCTCGAGCGCGATGCCGCAGACGCCCTCCCGGACGCGCTCCGCGGCAAAGGCGTCGCCGGCGACGAGCTCGCCGGACTCGTCCTCGAGGACGCCGCCGAGCTTCGTCGAGCCGGGGAGCACGACGTCCATGCGGCGGAGCCACGCGTCGAGATCGCCCCGCGGCGCCGCCGCGAGGAGCAGCAGCTCCGGCGCCGGCCCCGTGGCGTAGGCCTCCCAGGCGCCGGGCCGCGCCGCGTCGAAGTCCGGCAGGCCGTCGGCCTCGGACGCGAACGCGACGGCCGTCGCGCCCTCGGGCAGCTCGACGGCGGTCGCCGCGGCGACGACCTTGCCCGTTTTCTTCGTCGCGAAGGCCTCCCGCGGCGTCGCCGCGCCGACGACGGCGTCGGGCGTCGCGGCGCCGCGCAGGCCGTCGACGACGTCGCCGACGGCCCGCGACGCGACGACGACGACGGCGACGCGCGCCGCGCCGCCGAGCCGGTCGACGAGGTCGCGGCCGAGCTCCTCGCCGAGGAGCCGCGCGTCCGCGCCGGACTTGGTCGACGTGACGCAGCGCAGCGCGGGCGGCGGGGCCGTGAGCTGGTAGGGCAGCTTCTGGGCCTCCTCTTGGAGGGCGGAGTAGGCCAGCGAGAAGAACGGGCGCTTGTGTGCTACCGTGCGGGCGGCGGCGCGCAGGGCGAACATTGCTGTTTCTTGTGGAGTCGCCGGTCTTGTTCAGCTCTCCGGCGTGCACCTAGACGGCTTGGCGGGTGCCCACGCACCGGCGCTGGCCGCGCAGCACGAGGTTCGGGGCAGCTGTGGCTAAAACAGAAGGGCCAAATTCTCATGTTTCCCCCAGATTGCACTTCAATCACGCGCTCAGCTCGGCGCCGCCCGTCCGCCTCTTCGCGCGAGCCGCTCTCTCGCGCTTCCGGCGGCGGCTGGCCCGGGCTGGTCGCGAGAGTGCCACTTGTGGCCGCTGGGCTGCTCAATCCAAATTGCCGCAGTCGCACTTTCGCGCTCTTACCGCGCGTCGCGCACCCGGAGAGGCGCCCACGCAATGGTTGCAGCGTGCACGTCGACGAAGTCCCCATTCTCGACGACTCGAGTGCGACCGGTACCGTGCGCGTACACTCTCGAGGGGCAAGCTAGACGTCAAACACCTCTTCAAGCAATCGCCAGACAAGCTCAGCTCGAGCGGGATCGTCATCGAGCGTGCGATCATCGACCCCCTCGTGGGCGCGCACCGACTCCACCATGGTCCTCTCCCGCGCCCTGCGACCCATTGCGGCCCGGTCCCTGAGCACGGCGACGAAGTCGGCCCCGGCGGCGAGCGCGACGCCGTCCGTGGGCCTCGCGCCGCCGAACGCCGTCGAGGACGTCCAGGTGACGGCCGAGGCGACGGCGGCGCGCAAGCAGGAGATGGCCAAGGCCGCCAAGGCCAAGGTCGGGGGCAAGAGCGGCTGGCAGGCCTTCGTGTCCGGCGCGCTCGACGTCGTGCGCCCCGTGGCCGCGGCCGCGTGGCCGACGCTCATGCCCATCATCGACGCGCCGTCGCAAAAGCGCGTGCGCGACGCGGCGTCCATCGAGGACCTGCGCAAGGCCGCGGAGAAGCGCATGCACGCCATGACCTACGGCTACCTCGCCGGCGGCGCCGACGAGGAGATCGCGCTCCGCCGGTCCGTGAGCTGCTACGAGGACGTCGAGCTCCGCCACGCCGTCCTCCACGGCGTCGGCCACGGCGAGACGGACCTGCGCACGAACATCATGGGCGTCGAGGCGGATTTACCGTTCTTCGTCACGTCCTGCGCGGGCCAGCGCATGTTCCACAGCGACGGCGAGGTCGCGACGGCGACGGCCGCCGCGAAGCACAACGTCGCGATGGCGCTGAGCCAGCTCACGACGTCGACCTTCGAGGACGTGCGCGGCGCGGCGCCGAACCACGCCAAGATCCTCCAGCTCTACGTCTGGCGCGACCGCGTGCTCCTCAAGGAGGTGCTCGACCGCGCGAAGGAGGTCGGCTTCACGGGTTTGGCGCTCACGGCGGACTTCTCGTGGGTCGGCAACCGCGAGCGCGAGACGCGCACGGGCTTCACCGTGCCGCCCAACTACTCCTGGCGCCAGACCGTCGACGCCATGAAGTCGCCGGCCTGGACCTACGACTTCATGTCCCGCGTGCCCTACGGCTACAAGGCCGTCCCCGACGCGGACTTCCCCGCGGAGAGCCTCGTCGACTTCATCGCGCAGCAGATGAAGCCCGAGTTCGACTGGAAGGACGCCGAGTGGCTCTGCTCGGAGTGGGGCGACACGGGGAAGGTCGCCCTCAAGGGCGTCGCGCGCGGCGAAGACGCGAAGCGCGCCGTCGAGACGGGCTTCGACACGATCTGGGTCTCGAACCACGGCGGCCGCCAGCTCGAGTCCAGCGTCGCGCCCTTCGACGTCCTCCCCGAGGTCCGCGCCGCCGTCGGCCCGGACGTCGAGGTCATCATGGACGGCGGCGTCCGCCGCGGTTTGGACGTCATCAAGGCGCTCGCGCGCGGCGCGGACTCCGTCGCCTGCGGCCGCGCCTACCTCTACGGCCTCGCCG